ACAGCTTATATTTTAATTAAAAACAAAATTTCTTTTCATCTTATGTACCTTAAAATTATATAAATTTAAGGTCAAGAATTTTTTTTTGTCGAAATATTTTACAACTTATTTTATTGATACTTCTGTCACGAGTGAAAATGAAGGTACGGCTACATTTTTAACTATCAAGTACATTGCAAAATGAAAAAATTAATTTTACTATCTTTGAAGCTTTTTTTCTGAAAAAAATATTGTTTATTAAAAAAAATTTTTTTTTTTTTTAATTTTATTGTTTTTTTTTTATTTTATGTTGAAAATGCTAACAATTACCATTGTTATCTATTGCATTTTTTTATATGGAAATTCGTTTGTTTATTTTTCTAACTAATTTGAATTTTATATTTTTTTATTTAAAAAAATTATGTTTTGAATTTAGTTAGAAAAATAGTTAAACAAATGAATTTCAATAAAAAAACATCCATTAACAATGATAATTTTGAGCATTTTCAACCTAAAAACAATGTTTAAAAAAAAAGGCTTCAAAAATAATGAAAATCAATTTTTTCTTTCGGAAATTTTGTTGTGGATACGAGAACATTTTTTCTGTAAAATTAAGAATGAATTTTCAAATTCATCAACTTTTAAGAAAAATAGAAATTTAAAAAGGGTCAAACTTTTTAAAAAATATTTTTAAAAATAGTTTTTCAATTATATAGAATTTAAAAATTTCTAAACAATGAAAATTTGGTAAAAACTCTTTAAAAATAATTGAATTTTTGAAAAATATAAAAAAAAAATAATCAACTTTTTGAAAAATTCTATTTAAAAATTTTGAAAATGATTATTTTCTCAAAAATTTTAAAACAGTTTGTAAAAAATTTTAATGTTATTTTTTATTTTATGTGTTTGAATTTTTTGGATTTTTTTTTTTTTTTTTTAATTGAAAATATTGAAAATAATTGAATTTTGAAAAATTAGAATGAATTCATTTATTTTCAAAATTTGCAATTAAAATTCTTCAAAAGTTGATTTTTAAAATATTGTAATAAAAAATACTTTTAAAAAATGAATTATTTTTTATTAAATTTTATAATACTTTGTACAATTTCAACAAAGGAAATGAGAGAAAAATAACTTTTTTTTTTCTTTCTGAGAAATAAATTTAATAAATAAAAATTGACAAATTGAAGAAATTTAAAAAATAAAATTTTCTGGTGCATTTTTGCAGTCAATTTTAATAAGTATACGATGTATGTTATTAAATCTATTAATTATATAATTGGCGAAAGTAACATAAAATAAAATAAAATAAAATCGATTCATCTAAAAGGAAAAGGGAATTGTTGAAAAATCAGTATATAAAATAAATGTGGGGCAAAGTAATAATTTCCTATTCCACTATTGTGCTGTCTTCACTTATTGCACTCAATAATCAATATGATATCGATCATCACTTCCTTACTTGAACGAAGAAGGAGGTTTACATTTAAAGCATTTATAGACGAACCAAAGTTGAATGTGTATAAAATATACGTATATATATTCAATGTACAATGTAGAAATTGAGGCAAGAGGGAAATTAAATTCAACTTTTAAATAATTTATTTATTTATATACTAAAAATAACATAGTTCAAATGCAAAATTAATAAAGACTTTATACTTTTATAATATTTTACCAAAAGGGAAAAAGAAAAAAAACTTATTTTAAAATTCATACAATTCAATTAAGTTTAGTTATAACGTTATAAATTAATTTTAGAATTTAGTTATAAAATTCTTATGATTTTAACCAAAAAATACATATTTTAGTTTTTAAATTATTCATTTGAAATATTTTTATTTTTCTTCTTTTAAATATTTTAAATACTTAAACTATTTTAATGAACATTTGTTTGAAATGGTTATTACATAGCAGCAATATATATATTTAATCACACAAGTTAAAAGTTTTTTCAAACAAAAGTAAATATTTTATTTAAAAGAAAAAATTACAGCAGTTAAACGTTAAATTATATTTATTTTCTGCTGGTTAGATTTTTACCGTATGTTTAAAAGTATAACTGATTTTATATTTTTTATATTTTTATAATAATTTATTCATCAGAATTCAAATAAGAATTCTATTGGATTTCATTTTTTTCGTTAGAAATTAAAAATTCCGATTTTATCTGGAACCACTATTTACTACTTTTTTACGATTTGATACTTTTTTTTAGATTTGTGACACTAAAAGCAACTTTTTTCTATTTTATGAAAATTTTCATTACTTTGAATTCGCTAATAGTGAGAATAAACAAAATTATTTTCAAAAATTCAAATAAAATTCTAAGAAGCAATGTAACAAATTTTAATAAAATTCTTTTAAACGATTCGACTATTTTCAAACTATTTTCGAAATTCAATTATTATTTTCAATATCTACAATTTTAATAAAAAATTTCTCAACATTAGGATTTGAATATTTGAAAAATTTGTTTAGAAAATTCTTTGCAAGAATTCAATCTATTATTTCAATAAATAATTTAATTTTTACAGAAATTCAATTATTTAATTCATTTCATTTCAATTACTTTATTTAATTTTAATACAATTTTTAATGAATTCTTTGAAAAATGCATGTATTCTCGAAAATTTTTGATAAATTTCTTTTTAAGAATTTAATTTTCAAAAATATTCAATAGATTATTTATTTTTGTATTTAAATAATTTAATTCTGGTAGAACTTTTTAATTCGAATTAATTTATGATTAAAATTTAAGATAATAATTGAATATTAGAAGCGTTATAGTGTGAATTTTTAGAAATAATTAAATTTCAAAAGATTTTTTTAATTAAAATCTTTGAAAATTTGAATTGTTGTTAAAATGAAATAACATGAAGATATATCGATAACTCCGAGTCTTCGACTCGGAGTGATCGATTTCTTCATGTTTTAATATAATAATTAAAGATGACCAAGTGATAAAATTGTTATCAATTCAATTATTATTTTCAACAATTTTTAACTAAAATTCTTCTTAAAATCGATTATTTTTAATAATTTTTGAAAAAAATTCTTTGACAATTTTGCAAATTCATTTGTTTACAATATTCAATTTTACGAAACTTCAATTATTCGTAAATTCTTCAATTAAATATATATTTGCAAATAAAAACTTCAAATAATATTTTTAAAAAATCCGCAATTACACTTTCTCACAAAAAATTAATTCCACAGAATTGTTTGTTAAAAATATGAAAAATTCAAATTTTCAAAGATTTTAATCTGAAACGTTTTCAAAATTCAATTATTTCTAAAAATTTAAGCTCTAATGCTTTTAATATTCAATTATTATCTAAAATTTCAAAAAAAATTAATTTTCAAATCAATTTTTATGAGGAAATTCTACTAGAATTCAATTATTTAAATATAACCAAAAAACAATTTATTGAATAATTGCATGTTTCTTAAAAATAAATTCTCATAAAGAAGTTTATCAACAAATTTTAAAATAATTGAATTCTTTTAATGAATGTTAATAAAATTTTTATTAATAATTACATTTTTCGAGGAATTCGAATAAAATTGTATTAAAAATAATCAAAATTCTACCATAAATTTTATTATTTACGAAAATAATTGAATTCCTAATAAGAATTTTATTATTTATGAAAAAAATTGATTCCCTGTAATAATGTTATTATTTATGAAAATAATTGAATTATAGCTAAGAAATTTATATAAAATTTGTAAATAATTGAATTTCTGCGTGAAATTTTTATTTTTTTGTGAAAATATAATTAAAGGTTTGTGTATAGAATTTTATTAAAATTTTTTTTTAATAATTGAATTCTTTTGAAAAATTTTATTACAATAGTAGATATCTATTAAAAATCATTGAATTGAGGGAAATTTTTGAAAATAATTGAAATTTTGTCAAGAATTTTATTAAAATTTTTAAAAATACATTGAATTTTGGGGAGGAATTTAATTATTTCTAAAAAGAATTGAAATTTTGACGAGAATTTAAAAAAAAAATTTTTGAACATAATTGAATTTTTGCGAAGAATTTTATTACTTTTGAAAATAATTGAATTTCTACAATCATTTGTAATTTCTCTAAAATTATCCAAATTATATCGTGCAATTTACGGACTTTACGGACCTTTTTTTAAAAAAAAACGGACTTTTACGGACTTCAAGCAAAGTTACGGACTTTTACGGGATTTACGGACCTGATTTGAGCCCTGTAAATTTTATTCTATTAGGTTCCCTAACAGGAAACGAATATTTGGGGATGTCCGTTCCATAGGCTTTAGTATATCAAATAAAAATTCTAGTATGCTGTAATTTTTCTACAGTCTTTTCCAAACGATATGTCTTTGGGATTATTTATGACTTGAACATCCGGATCTTCAGTAGGACATCCTAGGGACGTCGAATTTGGATAGTAAAGAATATTCGAAAATTATGACATAGTCTATCAGAATTTCTGAATGAGACTATAAGTCGTTGGGAAGTCCTGGAATGTCCATACTGAACATGTCTTCTACTTTAGGAGGAGGTCTCATTTTCCGAGGGGAAAAATGAGAAATTCTAATCTAATTCATCCAGTGAACCTTTAATTCAGTTGATTTATGTCAAAATTGCAAAAAATCGATCAAAAAATATTTTGCAACACCGCGAAATGAAGAGGATGAAACTTGAGAATGAGAATGCTGGAGGCGAACCAGTATATTGGTGAAGACTTAATGACCCAAAATATACTTGAACCACACATAGTCTTTCACATATATAAAACCAGTCGTTGTCTATAGCATCTTCATCCTAATCTCTCTCCAAACATGACGTAGGTCACGTGAATGCAAAAATTCCTCATATAGGAAAAGAATTTGCATATAATCACCATCACCAAAAAAAGCAATAACCACCACCACCACTACCACCACCATCACCATCATCATCTAAAATTGACCAACCAGTATTGCATTATTCGTTGAAAGTGAAACACAACGTTATCCTTATTGTCCGTCACTTACACTTGTTCCAATGATCGTGAGGTTGGCTCCCGAGATGATCGACCGACTCAAGATCCTGATGGTGATCGTGATTGTTGTTATTGTCGGCTGCTAGGGCAGACGGAGGATGGTGATGGTAGGACGTTTGCACGTGGTGATTCCTGGCGATGGGGCGGTGCGTCGCTGCCGCGGGCACCGAATTTTCCGTTCCAGGATCCTCGACGGTAGGCATCGCACATCCGGTAATACCGTATCACGTACCCTCAGCTTAACATTTTGTCACTTCTTGCAAAAAAAAAAGGATCACTAACCAAAACAAAATTTCGAAAAAGAAGAGGGAAAACCGTTGAGGATATATGGATCTATCCCTTAAAGCGCGACAGTCACGTGTGGGTGCAGTTTCGAATATCGTTTCAGTTTTTCAACATCAGCTGATGAAGTTTGTAAACTTTGTACATTTTAGACATTTTGTACATTTAATACATTTGATAGATTTAATGCATTTGATGCATTTGATACATTTGATGAATTTGATGCATTTGATACATTTGATGCATTTGATACATTTCATACATTTGATAGATTTGATACATTTAATATATTTAATGCATTGGGAATTAAGTTCCTATTGTTGTTTCTGGTTATTCTATCCGTAAGTTGTAGTTTTTACGCGAAGTATGCGAGGTATGCGTAGTGTATATGCGAGGGTACATGCAGTGATCAATGGAATGTGATTTATTTTGATGTAATGAGCCGAGATCACACAGGACATGTTACCGACCTGCGTCCGTTGTGGTACAAGGATCCTTCCGGTCGAAGGGGTTCCTCTCGCAGGAAAAAGCCCCGTTGAGGAACTCGAGGATTTCGGCCCTCGGTACCCGCATGCAGGTCGCGAATTTATTCCTCTCTCACAAACTTCAAACTTTTTAGGAAAATCCCATAGAACTCGCGCATAAAGCACTACTTATACTGATGGTCCTTTTTGTTTTGAGGAACTTTTCACTTAAAATATTGATCACCAGAAAAAAAGAATTAAGATATCAGTGTCCTTGCTCACGAACTATTACACATATTCGAGAGGAGGAAACAACACACTGCCTTTTGCTAGAAGAGATATTGAGAATTGAGAGGATTTTGTCAGAGGGCTTGCACGAAAGGCCGGCCTCCGAGTAACTGAGTCTGGATCGCGCTTGGCGCGCCGCTATATTAAAACCGTACAGTGTGTAGAGTGGAAACGGCGCTTGTATGACGTCGCGAGTGACGTCATGAACCCGGGACGCACGCGGCAGATCGATGGACGAGGCACGCGCCCCCATTGGCTTGCTCCTCGATGATGCCACGGGATGACGTCATTCGCTGGCTCTAGAGCCACCCCACTCCACCCCAGAGAGGATCTAACGGTGGTCGCGGCGATGGGGTGGCTGCCGTCCCGCGCCTCCTCCCTCCTCGTCCACGTATATTATCTGCTCAGGAGGAAGCAGGAAAGCTGTGGATGGAGCTCGGAACTCTTTCGTGACGATGCAACTTTCATTCATGGAGAAGGCGACCCTTCGATCCGCAACAACCCTCGGAGAGATGAAAGACTCCTACGATGCCGTATACCACATACGACCCGCAACTTTTTCCGAGCGTTATGCTAAAGTTGACTGAACACGGTATGTACGCGTGTCAATGCGGAGGTGGTTCACACACACACACGAGATATAATGGATAGTTTCAGGGTTAATTTTAACGGTTCACCGGGGCTCAAGGGCTCTTTTTTTTAATGTGTTTTAATGCAAGACCGCGCGGTACTTAGTGATGTCGATGGACCAAGAGCAAGGATACTTCCGGGAGGATGAGATTATTGCTATAAAAAGTACAGTACAGAAATTAACATTGTTACTTAATAGTATACAAAGAGGAAATTTATCTATAAGGGTGATTCCCCACGTATATAGCGCAGGGCTCGAACCAGGTCCGTAAATCCCGTAAAAGTCCGTAACTTTGCTTGAAGTCCGTAAATTGCACAATATAATTTGGATAATTTTAGAGAAATTACAAATGATTGTAGAAATTTAACCCTATAACGTCAGGGTTTTGAGATAAACTCAAAAAACCAAAAATTTGACCCCAAAGTTTTTGAATCCAGAAAAAATTTTATTTTTAAGTCTTAGCATCACTGCCTTATGTTTTTGGGGTCGCTGAAGCTGAATCTGAAGTCTTCTTAACCCTATCACGCCAGGGTTTTAAGATAATCTAACAAAAAAATCCAAAAGTTTGACCCCAAAATTTGTAAATAAAAAAAATTCTTATTTTCAAGTCTTAGTATCACTTCCTTATGCTTTTTAGGTGTCTGAAGCTGAATCTGAAGTTTATTTAACCCCATTTCGAAATAACCTCAAAGAATCCAAAAAAAATTGACCCTAAAATTTTTAAATTAATAATAAATTTTAGTTAACGTGTTAGTATCACTACTTTATATTTTTGGGGTCGCTGAAGCTGAATCTGAAGTCTTCTTAACCCTACCATGCCAGGGTTTTAAGATAATCTAAAAAAAATCCAAAAATTTGTAAATTAAGAAAAATTTCATTTTCAAGTCCTAGTATCATTGCCATATGTTTTTAAGTCGCTGAAGCTGAATCTAATGTCTACTTAACCCCATTATTACGGAGTTTTGAGATAAATTCCAAATAAAAATTCAAAAAATTTTCTTGATTTACAAATTTCGGGATTAAATTTTTGGATTTTTTTTTAGATTATCTTAAAACTTTGGCGTGATAGGGTTGAGTAGACTTCAGATTCAGCTTCAGCGACCCCAAAAACATAAGGCAGTGATTCTAAGACGTTTAAAATAAAATTCTTTTTTATTTAAAATTTTTAGGGTCAATTATTTTTAGTTTTTTGAGATTATCTCAAAACCCTGACTTCATGGGGTTAAATGAACTTAAGATCCTATTTCAGCGACCCCAAAAACATAAAGTAGTCACTGTCTGACCTAAAACTCAGAGTATCAAGTTTTTTTTGTGTGCCAGGGTTTTTTATGGGTATATCTACCATTTCAATAAAATTTTCCAAAAAAATTCAATTATTAAATAAAATATTTAATAAAATTCTACGCAAACCTTTAATTATTTTCACAAAATAATAAAAATTTCACGTAAATTCAATTATTTATACAAATTTTATATAAATTTCTCAGCCATAATTCAATTATTTTCATATAAATTAATAAAATTATTACAGGGATTCAATTATTTTCGTAAATAATAAAATTTATGGCAGAATTTTGATTATTTATAATACAATTTTATTTGAATTCCTCGAAAAATGTAATTATTCATAAAAATTTTATTAAAATTCATCCAAAGAATTTAATTATTTAAAAATTTGTTGATAAAATTCTTTATGGGAATTTATTTTTAAGAAGTAATAGTTAAATATTCAATTAATTATTTATTTTTCTATTTAAATAATTGAATTCTCGTAGAATTTTCTAATAAAAACTGATTTGAAAATTAAGTTTTTTTTGAAATTTTAGATAATAATTGAATATTAAAAGCATTGGAGCATAAATTTTGAGAAAAAAATTGAATTTTGAAAAGTTTTCAAATTAAAATCTTGGAAAATCTGAATTTTTCATTCTTTTTATCTAACAATTCTATAGAATTAATTTTTTTTAAAAAGTTCTACTCAAAATTTCAGTTATTATCTTTTCAAATAATGAAATTCTTCTAAGAAATTTAATTGTTTTCAAAAATTTTAATAAAATTCTTGTCAAAATTTCAATTATCTTTAGAAATAATTCAATTCTTCTCCGAAATTCAATTATTTTCAAAAAAGAATAGTTTTATAACTTCTTTAAAAATTTTTATTTTTATGCCTTTTATTTTTTTTTTAAATAAATTTCGCTTTGCACTAGATCAGTATTAAAAATAAATTAAAATTCCAATATAACCTTTTCTCTGTTTCTTTAAAATTAAGAAAAAAATTTTATGCAATTAATGCCAATTATATAAATCAATTAATTTCGTCTGCAATTTTGTTACATTTAAGTTATAATTAAATTTGATTAATTTGTAACAAAAATGGGTCAATCAATTGCTATTATCAGATTAAGAAATATTAATTTTCTAAAAATATTATTCCGTTTTCATCAATAGCACTATTCAACTTCGTTTCATTAAATTTTAAACGCTGCTTGAATTGGACATTTTTATTCAATATTTAAGGGGTTGGGAGGGGAGGTAAGGTTAATTCGATGTGAAACATGCATATTCATAAGAATTTTTTTGTCAGTTTTTTTAAAAAAAGTTCGTAAAGTCCGTAATCTGATTGAAAAAGCAAGAAAAGTTATTAAATTTAATGATATAATTTGGAGAATTTTTAAGAAATTACAAATAATTTGCAAAAATTCAATCATTTTCAAAAGTAATAAAATTTTTTGCAAAAATTCAATTATGTTCAAAATTTTTTAAATATTCACATCAAAATTTCAATTACCTTCATAAATAATAATATTCTTCTCCAAAATTCAATTATTTTCAAAAATTTTAATAAAATTCTTGACAAAATTCAATTATTTAGAGAAATAATAAAATTCTTCGAAGGTATTCAATTATTTTTATAAATAATAAAATTCTTTGCAAAAATTCAATTATTTTTAATACAATTTTAATAATATTTCGTGAAAGAATTCAATTTTAAAAACATTTTTTTGAAATAATTTAATTATTTTCTAAAATTTTAATAAATCCTTCGAAACAAATAAATAATAAATAATATGTAGTAAAATTCACCGTGAATTAAATTATTTTTCATTAATAATAAAATTCTTTTTAGGAATTCAATTATTTTCAATACAATTATTAACAAATTCGATTGTATTCAATAAATTAAAGAAATTTTTGGAAAGAATTCAATTATTTTCAATAGATTTTTAATAAAATTCAAGAATTAAATGTTTAATTTCAATTTTATTAAGAAACACGATTATTCTAAAAACTTGAAAGAAATTATTTATATGAAATTCAATTATTAATAAAATTTCTAATTAAAATTATTAAAAAAAACTCCATTATTTTATACAAAATCAAAGAAATTCTTCAAAAGAATTTAATTCAGATTATGAAAATTTTTTTTATAAATTCCTTCCCTAAAAATTCAATTATTTTCATTAATAATAAAATTCTTCGAAGAAATTTTCAATTATTATCAAATCTTTTGATAAAATTCTTTGCAAGAATTCAATGATTTGCAAAATTTTTTTAAAATTTTTTCGCAATAATTCAATTATTTTCATAAATAATATAAAATTTTTACAGGGATTCAATCATTTTCGTAAATAAAAAAAATTCTTTTTATGAATTAAATTATTTTCATAAATAACAAAATTTTCACAGAAATTTAATTATTTTCAAACACAATTTTCACAAAAATTTTCGAAAAAAAATCAATTATTTAAATTGATTTTCATAAAATTCTTCACAAAAATTTAATTATTTAAAAAAATAATTAATAAAATTCTTCGTAAGAATTCAATTATTTTTGAAAATTTTAATAAAATTCGTTCGAAGAATTCAATTATTTAAAAAAATTACAATGAAATTCTGCGCAATCATTTAAGTATATTCATAACAATTCTGTAGAATTAATTTTTTGTTATATGTTTAATTGAATTTATTTTATGTTATTTGAAGTTTTTATTTTTTAATATATATTTTATTGAAGTAAACAATTTTCTTTTAAATTATATTTGATTTGGACATTTGGCAATGTACCTTCAACCTTGCAGTAAGTTTGCAGAGTAAGCTTACAACAAATATGGGGTAAAAAATGAAGCTAAAATTATTATTTTGATTATTATTTTCTGATTATTTCTAAATAAATTTCTTTTCGTAAATAAGGGTCAAAATATATATGCTTAAAGTCAGACAGTTATTGAAGCGTTTTAAAGTATTCTATAAACTGATTACAATGATTTAACAATTACACAAAATTTTTCAAACCTAGAGAAAAAATATAAATTCAATTTTTCACATTTTTTAATTTTTTAATTACCAATATAACTTTGTATAAAATATTCAATCTTTATAAGTTCATCAGTAGGTCAATCGATACATTTTTAAATGCTCTATAAATTTTTTATGATTATTTAAAATAGTTGCATAGTATTTCTTATAAAAGTCGTTTATAAATAATAAAATTTTCACAGTGATTCAATTATTTTCAAAAGCAATAAAATTTCTCGCAGAAATTCAATTATTTCCAAAATTTTTTTTAAATTCTTC